TCTCTCTGACAAATAAACAAAATCTTTAAAAAAAATTTTTTTTTAATTTAAAAAAGAAATCAGTTTACCTTGGTAGAATACTCTTTTGGACAGCCCATGTTTACATCAATACCAGCCACATCATTTTCCCTGGGAAAACATGAGGTAGAGAAGATTATAATAAAGATCCAACTTGAGGAGAGAATTTAGAGTCAAAGGCATGGATCTGTGCTCATGAACCTCTCTTACCATGTCCCTGGCCCTATTAAACATGCCAACCCCCAGTGACAGAAGGTGAAGAAATTGGTCTCTGAAAGGTGCAACTGCTTTCCCTGAGCAGAGTTCAAGAAGAGCATATTGTGCTCAAACATCTACAACGGGCTAGTTTTGGAGGACTTTGCCACTTGGGAATTATATCAGATAATCCAAATACTGAGCCACATTGAACTTGATCCCAGAGTTCCAGTTCTGACTTGGGTAGTGAAAGCCATTTGTCAATGCACAGAAGTGACATGAATACCAGAGCCCGTTCCCAGAGCACTGGTTCTAGTAGAAGTTATGGGACTGCCTTTGTTTGCTGGGCTGCACAGTTGGTTTACTCCCAACAATTTTCAGATGTGAAAAGGACCCTGAGCTCATCCTCTGGTGTGTATACAGTTAATAGTCTGTAACTAATGCCTGAGTTCCTTCTCAGTGCTATTGTAATTAATAATAATAATAGCTAACACTAATCCCTCACTACATACCACATATTGCAAAGACATTTACGTGCATTATCTCATTTACCATCACCTATAATGGCAGAGGTAGGTAGTACTACTGGTCCCACTTCCTAGGTAAGGAAACTAAGTTCTCCTAGTTAAAGTATGGTTAGGTAACTTATGTAAGGTCACTCAGCAAGCAGCAACCAGAATTCCAACCCAGGTCTGTCTAACTCCAAAGCCCATCTCTTTAACCACAGTACTCTCCTGCCTTCATTAATTTAGGCAGTAATAAGCCTTACCCTACACTTCATGAGACTCAAAACCTTAGGGATCAGTCATAAGAATCCCTGGAAAGGGAGCTTCATGAATAAACACTAAAAAATAGTTGCCTGAACAGATGTTATCTGGGATCTGGGTACATGGGTACACATGAGTCCCAGGCCAGCCCTCAGAGGCCAAAAACAGAGAAAAAAAACCAGACACTCTTAACCTGGAAAGAGAAGGTAGAGAGCTAAGAGACAGAAGGGTAGTTGCCTTCAGGGTCACCAGAAATAGTAAAGCTTCACAGCCCACAGGAGAGGCAAAGGCAGTCCCAAAGAGAGAAGAACTTACACAAGTCTGGCCACTGCAAGGGCTCGCTCCGCATCTGAAGTCCCCTGGAAACAAAAGAGGCTCCCTCAACCACCATCCATGACGCAGGTACATGTGCACAGACACACAGACAAACCCAGCGATGACACCACGTATGCGTGTGCGCATGCACACGCACTTCAGCGAGTAGAGTCTGGCTGGCATCCTCTTAAACAGCCAGCCCACTGAACTAGCTCACTGTTGGAGGTAAAAATTGGACCCGGAAGGCCTAGAAAATGTCCTCAATGCTGTGATTACTTTCTAACATACAAAAAAGTTGACAAAATTTTATAGTGAACATTCATTCATATACTCACCACTTACATTCTACAATTAATATTTTGCTGTTTGCTTTATCATATGTCTACCCATTGTTATTACCAACCTTTTAAAAACTTAAACATCATGCAGAATCTATTTCTGAAAAAGCACCAAGAAATTCCCTAAGTGAGAGAAGAGCGCTATGGAGTCATTACAAGCCTAACGTAAATTAACTGCTCTTGAGGAAACCTAATTTTCTTTCTATGGGAAATATATACAGACTATACAAAGAACAAAGAACGTGAATTGAATAACCAATTCTAGGGAGTAAAAAATATGTTATGCCAAACAGACAACTCCTGCAACTAAGGAAATTGTATTTGACACTGGAGACATGTAACAAGAATGCTAAAGCTTGATTTCCTTAAATCGTCTCTGACAGTGTAAACACTCATGAACAAATCTTTGAAAAACACTGAAGCAGAATCTCAGGAAACCACCACTGTGCAACGGAGCCCAGGTATTTAAGGATGAGTAACCCTTGGGAGGGCGCTCAGCCCCTGGGATCTCATACCATCTGGAAGACAACCCTGTTCTGTTCTCTTTCGCAGGTGCGGAAGACTACTCGGTCATCAGGGGCGACAAAGTCCACTGTGCTGAGCACCTCTGCAAGAAAACACAAACACACCGGGCCACTCAATGAAGAAAGGAAGTTCAATCTAGCCTAACCCTGGAAGAAAACACAGCAAAAATATCACTTTGAAGGGGAAAAAGGGATGCTGGAAGTACACAATTCTTCAAAGAAATCGGTATGCACATGGAGGTTTCTGAGGTGCTGATGATGGTCCAGTCCCTGACTTAGGTGATGGTAGTTACATGCTGGTTGCTTTACAGTTATTTGTTATACCACATGCTTTTGTTTTATGTACTTCATTGGTGTAGTGTGTATATTTCATAATTTTTAAAACACTGAAAAAAAATGTATACACGTGGTACCTTGTCTGTATTTCAGGTTTGGCCCAAATATTCCCAGTGTCACTCTGAGGTTGAGGAAAGTTGCTGTTTCTTAATTTACCATGTGCTAGGTACTGTGAGTGGAGATTCACTCTATTACAATCAACCCTCATTATGTGTACTTACGTACTTGCAAATTTGCCTGCTTGCTAAAATGCATCTGTAACCCCAAAGTCAATACTCATGCCATTTTCATGGTCATTCACAGATATATGTAGAACTGCAAAAAAAGTCAGTCACCTGGTGCATGCCTTCCCAGCTGAGGTCAGACAAGGCAAGGCTCTACCTTCTTATTTCAGCTCTCACACTGTAAATAAAGTGTCTTTAAGGTGGTATATTTAATGCCACATTTTTTTCGCATTTGCTTTTGTTGCTCTCGCTGTTGAAAATGGCCCCAAGCACAGAGCCGAAGTGCTCTCTAGTGCTCCTAAGCACAAGGCTGTGGGGTGCCTTAGGGAGAAAATCCACGTCAAACAACCTTTGTTCAAACATGAAATTAGAGTACTGCTGACTGTGAGTTCAATGTTTAAATAGACTTACACATAAAACAAGATTATGTACTGATCTGTTAGTGAAATTGTTGTAACCCGAGGCTCACAGGAACCTAATCCTGTATTTTCCCTAAAAGCAATGGTTCAGTATTTGCTAATTTGGTGTTCAAAGCAATTTTTTTTAAAGATATTATTTATTTATTTGACAGAGACAAGACACAGCGAGAGAGGGAACACAAGCAGGGGGAGTGGGAGAGGGAGAAGCAGGCTCCCCGCGGAGCAGGGAGCCCGACGC